TGTTATCAGAAAGGATGGATGATATTCACCATCAAGTACGTTCAAACTTGAAAACGTCTGCTGATTCGATGAAGTTAACCTATGAAAAGAGATCTACTGAAGTCGGCTTTGTACTAGGAGACAAGGTGTGGTTGTATAATCCCAGTAAGCCCAAAGGGACGTCTCCTAAGTTGTCTTCTCCATGGGAAGGCCCATATGACATAGTGGATCGTCTCTCAGACGTGACTTTCCGGATAAAATATGGTTGGCGAGGTAAGCCAAAAGTGGTGCATGCCAACAGGCTTTGGCGTTATCACGGTCCAGGACATTTCACTTGGGACGAAGTGAACAAAGGAAGAAATGACGCTGCTGAAGACTTGTCACCTGATAAAGCCACCGTCGAAGAAGAAACTCTACTCAGTCTTGAAAAGCGAAACGGTGAAGCTCTTGATGAAGTTACTACCACTGATGTGACTGTTATCAACGATAGGACATTTCCTGATGAAGCAGATGAACCCCATATGAAGCAGAAGCCAACTAGACGGAGACCAGTACGGAAGAAGATACGTCCCGTAAAATAAGAGACTTTGTTGAATTGTAATTTTGTGTTTGTAATTCTGTACATTTAATTAAGTTATTGTTAATTGTTATTGGTTTATTGTAAGTGGCTATTGTTCGGGACGAACAATACTAAGGAGGGGCAGTGTTGCGTCAGCGAGGTCACGTGACTAGTATCACGCCACGTTCTTCTCGAACCTTCATGAATTATCGGGAGACTACTAGATTGGGGTAGTCTGGTATATATAAGACGGTCACAACGTGGCGGAACAGTGTAATGAGTAATTGAACTGCAGTCAGAGAGTGTGTAATTGAACTGAGTATTGTTGAAGTCGAGCACGTGAGACGTTCGTTGAGAATTGTTGCGCGACTGTTGAAATTAAGTGTATCGCAAAGTTGTATTCAGAGAGAATAAACTAGTTTTATTTAAGAAAGGACTTTACGGAAAATTAACTAACGAACGGAGACGTAACAATATGTTTGTTACAGGGAATAGTTAAAGAAAGAGTAGTAAAGTATTTACACACACCACATATTATGTTTAACATATCGTTTTCCTTGTATCAAATTTGACATTGTTACATTTTCATAGATAGTTCAGATATTATTTTAATTTATTATTTTGTATCTGTCACATATTTTAAATAGTTTAAACAGTAACGTATCGAATACAAATGCCACTTATCTCTGCCGCACGACAATAAGGGTGCTTAATGAGTTTTCTTTGTTCAGAAGACAGGCTAAGGGTAATTGGAGAAAATATATTTAATTAGTATTCGATGACGAGGAACCCACTTTGAGACTAATAATGGCT